TGTTAAATAAACTTTTAAAGCCTTGGCTTAAACCAGTTATTTAGAGATTGGTTAAAATATTATGTTCTTGAAAGAAAAAAGTATGTACCTTTATTATTTATTTGCTACATGAACAGTATGCCCTTAGTCATAAAACGGTAGCAGTAGTAAAACTTTAGGAATATTTTATACAGATTACTCTAGTTTAACAACATCATCGACAAATTATCATTGGCTAGAATTGGCATGTAAAGAGCAGTCAAAAAGTATACAGTCCTATTTTAGGAGGGATAGTTTATTTTAGAATCCCAACAATAATAACCCTACGTATTTCTTTAGTTTAGAACAAAGAAAGCAATAAGTCAGCCATAACACCTGAATAGAAGTTAGTGAGATTTGTATAAAATATACTTAGGTTCAAACATTGACTGCCACATAAGTTGGGACTACGATGTTCAATTTATACTAAACAAAATTTCATCTGGCTTATTTATTCTAAAAAAGAATGTTGTATCTAAGCAGCAACAAACATTCTGCAATGCCTTGTGATTAACCACTAGAAAGTGTGACTATGAAGTACAAAGTAAGGTCATTATTTTAAATATAAAATGTATGTAAATTATGTTAAGGTTCCCGTCATAAATATGATATATTTAAGTAAATAAAATATGCATGTAAAATTTTAGCTTGCATTCTTCATTTTAAGACCTATTAATGATTGTTTTAAGCAAGAAATTCACATAGTAAAAAAAATAGTTACAAAGAACAGTATACAAGGATTTGACTAAAGTCTCGGATGCCATCTTGAATTTCGGACTTCCGAGACTCAGATTTCTTTAGACTACTTTCCTGGTAAATGTACATAATTCTTAGTCAAAATAACCTATAAAACAATTTAAAGAAATCTTTTTAGGGTTGTCGTACGGATTTATTTTACTATAAGAGAATAGAAAATGACACACACAATTCAAATTCAAATTCGTTTATTTTACAGTGAATTTTGTTCCTATTAAAATTGAAAAACATAAAAATATAGATATTTAACAAAAGCCATGGAAATATTAAACAAAAACAAGCTATCAAAACAATTTATTCAACCTCTATAAGAAAAAGAATATACTGCGGCTAGCGTATTAGCACCCTTGTATTTCGGTAACCAAAAGGCGTAGAATCAAAATATAACATAGTAAGCCTTACTAGCCTCGATGTAATGGTAAAAAGATCAATTTTGAAATCTTTCATACGTTTAGGTGTAAGAGAAAAAATATTTCTTACAATAGTGTACCATTACATCCTCCTCCCAATAGGAATGGCGGGTAGTACGAGGTACGTCTGATCAGTTTTGAGGAAAGATCTGATTATTTTGAAGCTTTAAGCCATTTGCTTTGTTGTGGGAAAGCTATCTATGGAGCTTTCTTAAGAAATGTAAGAACGATCTTAGGAAAATCTGAACATTTTGAAACTTTCAACCCATATCCAGCCCAAACTCTCTTCCAGGATTATAAATTCACGTTTTCTGGCAGTAGGACTAAACAATCTAAAGAAAAGTCCTAGTTCACAATAACACAAAACCGATGTTAAATAGAAAAGCGGATTTGTTTAGCATATGGGGATCCTAAAACGACAACTTACAAACACATATCTATAACGACTACGTTAATAAATGTCCTCTAAAAGTAAATAGATTCCAGATAATGCGATCTAAAAAACACATATTTGACAATTAGCCTTCTGGCCTAGTAATAGTACATTTGTTGTCAACATTTAACCTATAAAACGTGTGATTGATGGTAATTTAATGGCTTGATTTGAGAAAATGTAGAGGCTTTAATGCGAGTAACAATTTATAAGTTTTATCCTTGTAATCAAGGGAAAGGAAAATGCACACTTGATGTGACAAAGCATTGGATACAAACAAGCCATGGCATATTTTAAATGTTTAAGCTGTATACTTCCTGTTGTAGGCCGCCAAGAACTGAAGCATGTAGAGACGAAGAATTTTCTTGAAGGGTTGCGATACGAAGAAGTCACTTCTGTTTGATCATGGACATCATGGTTCACAACTGCTGAGGTATTTCTCTATGTTTAACTAAAACACTTCATTACATAAAGTTTGTAACTAAAATCAACACAAATGTTTAGGCTAAGTTTGAAAAATATGCGATATTTTGAAATGCGGTAAAATGTTTAAGTTTTGAATATTTATATCCAAGCTATCTTAAAATCACAACTTTTAAATAAAATTACATCAGACAATATAGCATTTTATTATTTAGAGTCCTTGGAGGCCAGCGAACATCTTGGATGATTTCAAACAGCTGCTGAAGAGTTATTTATCGTAAAAAAAATTGTTTTTCAAACACCAAAGTGATTACAATTTAATATCTAGTAAACTGTGAGATTAGAAATGTTCTTTGTAGTTTTGAATTGTTATCCAAGGAAGTCCATGGAAGCTAACGGCCATCTTGGATTTGCCCGCCATAAGAGCAATGTTAATTCCGTTAATTTCAAACAGCCTCTGAAGAGTTTTACAATTTCAAAATATATTTTCAAACTCCAGGTTGATTGTAATTTAAATATCTCAACATAAATATAATACCACGTGATATTATAAATTTTCTTTCTTCCTATAGGAAAGTAGCTATTACCGTTGGTGGCATGGTAAGACCTAGGCCCGGAACCGATATTCTTTTTTCATTTTGATGTCCCTAGAGGCCAAAACACTATTCGCAGTAGAACCTCGATAACAAGGCTCTCATGGGGATTATTAAAAAAGACTTGGTATTAAGGTCGACTTCTTATCGAGGTTTGCAATAACATGTGATAAGGTATAAATTCAAGGGGATTAGAAAATGGCACTTGTTAAAAAGGGTGACTTGTTATTGAGGGTATTGTTATCAAGGTTCCACTGTATATAGATTTATATATATATATATATATATATATATATATATATATATATACATAGTGTAAATTTTGTCTTGAAACAAATCTGTATTTTTTAAACAGAAATAGATAGAAATATTCTGTTTGTGGCATTGATTGTTAACAAAGGTTCCATAATCTTTTACATCAAACATATTTTTTAACTCCCCTAACAGGGTAGGGGGTAGGGGGTGATTTATTTTTTTCAAATAGCAACCCCTATTGAGTGAACCCTCATTCTGACGGATTTGTCAAAATAAACACAATGACGCAAACCCGATGTGTATATCCTACCCCTTGCCTAAATGGCAGGTATTCAAAAATTTGATTTACTGTATGTGAAAAAGCACCATTTTCATAAATATGGAAAAAATCTGTATGTTTTAAACCTAAATAGATTGAAATATTCTGTTTGTGGAATTGATTGTTAACATAGGTTCCTTTTATGCCAACCATATTTTTTGACTCCTTTAACAGGGTAGGGGGTGGGGGTGATCTTTTTTTAATAACTACCCCTATTGATCGACCGCTCATTTTGAAGGGTTTGTCAAAATAAATACAATGATGCAAACCATACACCAACTGTAGATATTTCATCCCTGGCCTAAATGGTGGGTATTCCAAAATTTGATTGATGTTAAAAGGCACCCATTTTGGAACACCCACCATTTTGGCTAGGGTTGAGATATTCATCTCGGGTTTGCGTCATTGTGTTTCTTTTGACAAGCTCTTAAAACCCCATCATTCAATAGGGGTATAATTAAAAAAAAATAAGTTGCTCCCGGTCCACTACCCTGTTAGAGGGGTTAAAAAGTTTTTTTTTGCTCTAAAAAATTGCAGAAACTTTGTTACGAATCAATGCTACAAACAGAATATTTCTATCTATTTTGATTTTTAAAATACAGGTTTGTTCAAAGACTTATTTACACACTGTATATATATACGTCTGTGAACGCGATAGCTTTAGTTATTTTTGTCAAATTTTCATGAAATTTGGCTTGAAGGTGTAAGGCGGGATAAACTTGAATGACATCTTGAACCAGCATGATCGGACAATGGGAACAGGGTAGGGTGTTTAGGAGGTTTTAACGGGTAAAAATAGGTTTTTCTAATTTTTTTTACCCTCAAAACATATAATTCCACAATTTCTATTTACGTTATTTCAAAGAACATAAAAAACAAATAATTTAGTATATTGGAGTGTTTGTGTGTGGTTATTGGTTATGGAGAAAATTGAATAAATTGTAGATTGTAAATTCCCATGTTATTCTTATGGAGGATAACTAAATTGTTGTAGTTTATTTTATACTAAGCTATTCATATTTTACTAAAAAAACACACTTTGTTACCCTCCCTGTAGCAGCAAACCTAGGTATTTGTTAACCTAATGTGGTTTAAATAGATTTTAATGAAAACCCAATACTGGTTAATTAAAATTCGCTTAGTCTGCAGGTTTGCTGCATCGGGGGTATTTAATTGTTTTACGAGCTAATTTTGTGATCTAAATTCGTTAGATTATGCAAAGAAACTTATATAGCCAATATTTTTTCTCAACGTCCTACCATATCATAAATGGTTAGCAAAATGTATATGAGGAAAAGGGTATTTAAGTAAAGCTTAAAGCTAAATAAAGTAAAATAAAATATTTGTTCAATTCAAAATTGCATAAATTACATGATATTCATATGAGTGATACTTTAATACTGTAATACAAAATATTTATAAAGAAAAAAAAGTAACAGCATTTTTGTTACATATGTTAGAAAAACAAGTGTTAACGATAATACCATTTAAAATTACAAAAAAAGGTCAAAACAGTCAGGGGGATGTGCCTACATGAGTTACTGATTTATTTAAATCTGAAGGTATATTGAAGCTAGGCAAATTTGTATATTTATTAATTCCTGTTGGTTTGCTTATTTTATGAATTTTCTCCTAAATTAACCAAAATTTACGCTACAAATTCTAGCTCAGAAAAAAGTAGTTTAAGGGAGTTTATATAGGGCGATCATGGTCCAATTATTGTCCAGTAGTATGTATTGTATTTTGTCGTTATTGTATTGTAACATGTTGTGGCGTGTCGTAGGGTGGCCAGTGGTCGTGAGGCCGCGGGGAGGTGGGGTACCCTCACAGGACCTCACTCCTCAGCGAACCTCTCCCGCGGCCGCACCTCCTCCGACACCTCTGCCATGCCACCGCTGCCGCTACTACTGGCCATCCTCCTCCTCGTGCCGCCCTTCTGGACCGCTCGTGTCGCCATCAGGGAGGCGCCCAAGGTGCAGATTCTCTCACAGGGTGTCGTGGCCGGCAGGGAAGTGTTCGTCACTAGGACTCAACGTGCTCGACAGTACCTGGGTATACCGTTCGCTCAACCTCCAGTGGGTTCCCTGAGGTTCGCCCCCCCTGCTATCTCTCCTCTGCCCTCGTGGGACGAACCCCGCAACTCGACGTTTATGCCCGCCTGCATGCAGGATCGAGATCGCTTCGAGGACCACGATAAGCTCAAGCTGGAGCAAAAGTTGTTCCCTGAAGAACGCATTGAGTTTAGCGAAGACTGTCTCTACCTCAATGTCTACTCTCCTGACGGTAAAAGTCATTTTTATACATATATCTTAACATAAAATCTATACACAAAACATTTACACTTTTAGTTACATATTTAACATGTTTGGTGCTGAAAGTGTCGATTATTTTAGTCCGTTTCACTGGTCTGGATGGATAAAAATAACTTATGGAAAACATTAGACATTAATCTTAGCATGCTTAAAATACTTTAACTCTTACAGCTAATTCTTTAACACATGTTTAATTCCACAAGTTGAAAATACGGATAAATGTCAAATTATTTAGCCAACTACACCCGCATGTAATTCTAGGCTTTTTAACAACACCAAATGATCCAAATGACATTTAGCAACACGTGTAGTTTTAATTACCTTTTAATTTTAACTCATGGGTTAAGTTGATAGAAAAAAATGAATACGTAGTCTTTATAAATGAAAACCTTACTTATTGAATTTTGGTTGAATAAGGCGTTTTTGTGGTTTCACGTTAATTTTGCAGTTTAAATCTATTTAACTATAACAAACCATGCGAAGTACGCTAGATCGTCACATATAAATACATTTATACCTTTATGACTAGCTATGTCATAGTTTCAAACCAATACAACACGTTGGAATCAATAAATTAAGTAGTTTGGTTAGAATAATGTAGTTTACGGAAAACGATTATACAAAATTGCTACGTTCTATCTATAAACTACTTAAAATGATCAGTTATTATTATATAAAGTCAATCAAAGTTAATACTTTACAAACCTAAATTATATTATGTCCTCCCAAAAATAGGTTGAAAGTGCTCCTAAACCTTTTAAAAATAATTAACAAAATTTCCTATCCAGAATATATTTTGAATTATTTAAGACTAATTTGGATTATCATCAATACATGCTTGTCATGATTCCAGAAACTCCTTTGCATGAAAAAATCGTCAACCCGAAGCGCATTAGGTTTCGTGCCGGCGGATTGGTAGTCCAGATAAGACTCTGCGATAAGAAAAGGAAGGACATTAGATCTTTTATGTACCTTTCTCAGGGAAATGTTGAGAAATTACGCAGTCAAATGAGTTCACAGTAATGACACACTTAAAAGCCCCAAAAATTGTAAAATAATATATTCATGTTCTAACGAAAATGTAAACGTTAATCGATACATTTTAGATCCAATAATAATAAATTTCATTTATATTTATCAATGTAAAATTATATAGGTTGTTTGCTTTATTATTTCTCATCATAAGAATTGTTCTACTCGTATAATTGAACTCTTTCACAATTTACTGTGTGAATAATATTTTACCTTTGCCTTAAATTTAAAATGTTAAAATGATTACTGAGCTTACATTTATTTATAAAGCTAAACATTTTTTAGTTGGTTGAGTTTTATTTTCGGTACTGCAACGTGGTACCTAATTGTGTAAACCTAAATTGGATTGAATGTATCTAGAATCCCCTTTCACACATGGTTTAACAACACTGACCATAAAATATAATATTCCTGATTTCGGCCATTTGAATTCAATATACGACACTAAAAGAATTACCTTATACATTAAACTTCTGGGAAGAACTCTTAGACAGCTGTTTAATTATAAATTACTCATAACACTCGATGAAATTTTGTGTAAAAACAAATTCTTCGAGCTAAATTACAGTGAGAAGATATTTATATTTGGGTAAATTAATTTATGGTTTACTTAAGAACATAATTAATTAATTGTGGATGGATATTTTACAATACAGAGACAACCTTCCTTATCTATCAGACTAATGGGTTCTTGTTTTTCAGTAAGTGTATCTAGACTCTTGAGGCTAAGAGGCATCCGAACCATTGGGTCAGGGCGTTATCTAAGAGCAAACTGCCATTGGTGATAGGTGAGATTTGGACCGGTTTCTGTAGGAAAGAAGTCTGGCATTAACAAAGTCAGGTGGCTCGCTTTAACTGTATTTTAAACTTAATTCAACGTCAGCCGTTTATAAAAGTACACATCGATTTCAGTAATTTACTTTGTTACTTTTAGCGCCAACCTGTTATAAAAACATTACAAAATGTTTTAAGTTGTTGACAAGTAGCAACGGAGTAGAAAACTTAACCTGAAATATTTATTGGTACTCTCGTAGTCTACGCACGTTGTTAGTCTTAGGAAAACAATGCGAGATCACCAACCAATTTGATACACACAGAACTTTTAATACGGTTTTATTCTAGATTAATTTATTTATTCAGTTATTCCGATTTAAAATCATAATAACGTCGTTTTTATTGTATAATAGCATAGAACTAATAATAGTGTAACGTTATTTTCAAGATTAATTTTTTTTTATTTTGAGCAATTGGCCCAAAGAGGTGACCCAAAAAAAAAATTCATCATTGTTACAAAAGTCATGGTTTATTTAAAATAAAACAGTTTCTTCTAAACACTTTCTACAACACCTTTAAGAGCTCGAAACCAAACTGAAATTGATTTACTTCCATTAGTTTCGGAATATCAAAAATGTAACAAATTTAAAACATTCGGGTAATATTGTTATGGGACATTTTAAAACAATTAATTCCTGGTACACACTTGAGCCCTGTGAACAAACAAACCCTTTCCTAGCTTATCTGTCTACAATACAAATACATATTTCTTTAACGTTTCAAACTTATTTAAATTTAATTCCAACTTCTTTAAATTAAAAAGCTAAACAATTAAATTAAAATCCTTGAAGATTAAATCACATTATTTTCTTCCTGAATGAAATCAAATTTACAATTGCTAAACTTGACTAGAAACTTTAAAAACTTTACTTTAATTATTAACATTTATTGTTTTAATATCCAAATTTAACTCTTTTAAAGAAATTCTAAAAGAATAAAGAGGTGCATTTTATATTTACATCTTTTACTAGTTGAAAGCAAAGTTTAATCTTTAATAAGAACACATCTATGATCTTTCTTGTTATTAAAATAATTAGCAGAGAGAGGGCTAATGGTGAATGAATTAAAATAACATCAAAAATAAAATGAACTTACTACTCATTGAGTAGGCTGCAGAAATTCACCCCAGGTCTAGACAATGTACATTTACACTCTTGAACTAACAACCCCACATGGAAGCAGCTCCCTCATATAAGATATCTCAGTTCTGGAACCTTCTACCCCTACTCGGGTTAGCAGTTGCACTGGACCAGGTGGTAAGGAAGCAATTTTGTGCTATACTTATGTTTTTATTTACTTCATAAATCTGATAAATTTTTAGTCTATAACGAATATTTCGAGGGAACGAATTATTCGAGCAGTGGAATTCATATCAGAACAAAACGTCTCCATCTATATATCATTGAACATCAGTGTATTTTCTATTCGCAGAGACTTCAGATATTTATTTATAACACGTAGGTATTCTAGGCACCTACTTATTAACATGGCGTACATAAAAAACTACAACTTTATAAAACCGTATTCATTGCAATCATGTTTTGAAGGTCAAAACTTGAAGGTCCTGGGTTCAAGGTGAATGCAAGTGATTTTGCAGCAGATCCGTATCCATGTTGCGTGATAAGAAATATTACTAAGTTCACGCACGAAAACGAAACACTCTTGTGAAGCGAAACATATGACATGACGTATTGTTTCAGAATGTAGGCTACAATTTACCTCCATACAATTAAGGTGTAGTGAATAAAAACAGTGTATCACAATCGTACCGTGTCATACCGAATTTGTAGGTATGTCGTTTTTTATACGGAAGTCACTTACTTCTCAAAGAGACATATTGGTAATTTAAACCTACTTGATATAACAATTCGTTTTAGCGAATTTCACAAATAGGGAATATTAGCGAATTTTCCATAGAGAGAATAAGCTATTACCGTAGTACTCATGGGAAGGAGTAATATACATGTATGTATGTATGTGTGTGTGTGTGTGTGTGTGTCCATTAGCACGATAACTGGAGCAAAAATGATTCGATTTTGATGAAATTTGGTGCAAACGTGTAAACCTACATTTATTCTAACTAGTTCGCAAACCAGCATGATCGGCCTATGAGAACGGGGGTTTATGGGTAAAATATTCCATTTTGACCCAAAAACATGAAATTTAGCAATCTCCTTCCAGACCATTTTGAAGAGCTTAAAAGACAAATAATTCAGTGTATTGAAGCGTTCTTATGTGCTAATGGTTTTGGAGAAAATTAAAAAATGATTAAATTAAAAATGTCCGTGTTATTCTTATGGAGAATATTGTAGTTTGCTTATTTATGAACATATTTTGATCAAATTTGGAAAAGACATTTATTTATTACTAAACTATTAACATAAAAAAGCACTTTTACCCTCCTTGTTGCAGCAATCATTAGTACTTCTATTACTATACTAATTCTATTAAAACAGGGAATAAATGTGATATTTCTAAGGATACATTTGAGTGTCAATCAAATCAGGCAAATGGAAATTCGCTCAGTCTGCAGGTTTGCTGTGACGGGGGTATTTTACTTTTCAGTATAATCCTCACTAACATCTATACACGTTTAACTGGGCACGTAAAGTTTTATACACCATGTAAAGAATTATTTATCTCTGTTTTTGGGAAAATTTCCTAGGTCTTATGTTATTTTGGAATGTATCTCTATAGAAATTACATACGATAATAATAACAAACTTAAAGTTAAAATGTAACTACTCAAGTTTTAATTTGTGCTTTCTTCAGTTTTTTTGCCAGACTCAGACCCGGAACCTTCTTACACAAATTACTTCAGGCTAGGCCTAGTGGTTCATGGCATTACCATTTGGATGATTTGCGAGATTTGAGCCCTTAACTTGGTCTACTACTAGAACGGCTCTCACCTGGTCACGAGTTAGAGAAGCAGTATTAGTTTTTCGTTAATGTCAAGATTTAACTTGTTTCGCTTTTCGGAAATCAGGAAATATTATTTTTTTACCAATGTCTAGCCGTAGTAGTATCTAACTATAATTATTTTTCACTTTATATATACTGTATATTTTTATTTCACTTAAACGAAGTAGAATGGCTGTAATGGCT